GCCCTAAGCTGTCCCAAGATTAAGCGGGTTAGGACCCTAGAAGTTTTAGCCCTCACAGGCTATGCTGGTTCACCCGCGCGGGCTGCGAACTGGCAACTAACTTAGATGTGAACCTGCAACTTAGATTTTATGTATCTATAGTCTAAGTTTTATAGTAATGTTCATATTCTTGTATGTGCTCATAAAGAGTATAGAAAAATTTGGCTACAAACACATATTGAAAATTTTTAAAGACATTCTAAGTTGGGCACCTTCGTTCGTAGCCCATCAACACTCATTAAGTAAATAATTCACTGAACAAACATCAATTGCCAATATAGAGGGTAATGGTGATAGTAGTAAAGAAGTAATTCCTCGACCAAGGGAAAAAAGGATATGAAGCGAAAATTCAAAGATGTTACACCGATGGTGATGATGATGGTATCGAAAAATCCTTATAAAAACAAAAAGAACTTATGGAAAATTATCAAAAGATGATATTTGTTCACCATGAAACAAAGAAGAATAATGTGGATAGATGCATATGCAAGAAACACTTACATGGTGGAACATGATATCTTCGTGAAGCTAAGGACACTACTTCGAATATTACGAAGGATCAACTTGCTAGGCATTTACATTTTTGTGACTCGATTAGAATACGATGGAATAGTAATCCTCAACAATACTATGTAATGAAGTTCCATATTGTTTGTTCTATATATTTATAAAATTAAATCTTAAGCTACATGAATAACACACTATGAGTTGATAATATCATTTGTCATCATGTGAATATCTAATCACAATAATTTTAAAAAGAACAATGGTAAGACCCTAGTTATTTGCAAGTCTAAATCAAATTAAACTATATTTATGTTAAATGTGTAGATATTTGTTGAAATGTTTGTTAGTAACACAAATTTTAGCATATTTAATTTATCTACATAATTTGAAGATTTATGATATTTTATTCTCGAAGATTGTTATGCTCAAATTCAAACTCCAACAAGTTGTTGTGGTGCCTAATCTTCTTCTACTGCTTTTTATGTTGTTGAGTATAAGAGATATTTTTCTAAGTTTTTTGCTCTGTGGTTTCTTGCTTGGAAAAACAGAGAATCATTGTGAAGAGACGAAGACATATGGTACGAATAAGAGAAATAACTTTTATATTATTAAAAAAAAAATAAACAAAATCACATTGTTGTCTATTATTATTGAGTGATAAAATAGTACCATTAATATGACCGTTATTTGACAAATACGCATTACGTTAAATTAACCAGCTGGATCCACCATATAAACATTGCAAAATATCTTAAACCTAAATGCTTAAATAAATTACCCCTACAAATCTACAATTATAGTTCTAGAAGATTAATAATATTATTAAATATTTTCTCTTAATATTTACTAATCATAGATAATATCCGGATAAATATAGTAAAATATATACTCTTAAAAAAAAAACTTATGAGTGATATTTATTATCTTGATATTCATATGCAATTATTTATGAATGAATACATAATTAGTAAAAAAAATAAATATGCAACTGTTAACATTTATCATTTTTGTTATAAATATCAAAATATGTTGTCCATTCTTCGTCTGTCAAATTAAAATTTTAAGCAATTGTTCTAACATTTAAACGGAAACATATGCCAAGCACTTTGTACTCAGTGGAGGCGTTTTTGACTCTGTGTGCTTCATGAGGTTGAGAAAGTAAAAAAAAAAATGGAAAACATATAAAATGTACTAAAATATATTAAAAACAAGAATTGATACAAATGAAAAACAAAAGTAAGAAAAAACTTCAAGATTATTTCATTTGGATAAATTTCTTTTTTTTTTCTTTTTTGAAAGACTTTGGATAAAGTTATAGTTACTATATTATATTTAATTTCATTTTTGTTCCTAGATTTATAGGTGACAGTCTACTTTTAGTCATTTTTATCAGAACATCCACATTTGATCCTAGTATTATTGTGCATGACCATTTTTTATCCTCCGTCAACAAAATGGTTAAAATGCCGTTAAATACCAAGTATTATTGTCATTTTTATAAAAAGTGATTGACCCCACTATATTTTTTATGTTTATTTTTTGAAAAATCTGTAATTGAAGACTGAAATGCATTTGTATTTAACAACATTAAAACTATTTTATTGATAAAGGACCACAAATAATCATGACATAATAATACTAGGACCAAATGTGGATGTTCCGATATTAAAAAAAAAAAAAAAAAAGACTAAAAGAGCGCTATCATATATAAATTTAGGACAACAAATAGAATTAACTCTACTATATTATGACCACGGGATGCATTATATATTCCAAAGAAAAATTAGTTGTGATACCATATTAAAATCATTTAATTTTTAACCTAAAGACAATAGTTATTTGAGATTTTATAAACATTATTTGAAGATCATGTTTTGTCAAAGTGAGAAATAATTGAGAATTACTATATATACTTAATTAACACACCGATGATAACCAGTATTAATTTTCTTCCCTTTTTGCTTTGACAATAAAATTAATTTTGTACTAAAAATGATTTTCCAATTTCATATTGACATTCTAGGAAATGAAATTTTTAAAAAAAAATCAAAATGTTTTTTTTTTTATAAAAAAATAATTTATTTTCCAATTTCATATTAGGAATTTCCATATGAAGCATTGAGTGAGTTAACGAACAATGTACTATTACCGTCACTAAGAATCGAACCCATGACCTCCCATTTGAGAGAGTCACTTCGTGTCACTAAATCACAAGATTATTGGCTATTAAATAATGTATATAAAAAGGTTTTATAATAATATTTATATTTATACAATATATCAAATCTAAAAGATGATATCTATAGTTATATAATGCATTAAAAAATTTAAATGCCAGTTGGACTAAATGAAGTTTTTAATATTGACCTCAATTAACTTTTTAATAAGAATGCAATTTTTTTTTTTTAATAAGTAGAATACCTTTTAGTAGTAAAATAAAATTAAATAAAATGTGATTAAGTCATCCCAATACATGAGCTGACAAGATGGCTTAAATCCAGGAGTCTCAAACTATTTGACTAGTACTAAATAATGATGAGTTTATATAGAAACAAATTAAATATGAAAGAAAGTTTACAATATTGACTATCAATTACTAAAGATAAAAGTGTCAAATATGTAAATATTTTATTAATGCTATTTTCACTTTAACATGATAATATAAATGTTTTTATTCAATGATAATCGTGAAATGATTGAATCTACCCGTATTTAAGAATGCATACATTTATTAATTTAAGATAATAAAAAAAAACCAGTCAAATATTGCTACATATAAGGATGCAAAAATTATGAGGTGAAATTGGAGGAATGTACTACTCCGTATTACTTTATATATATATTTATAATGTTGATAAGTTATATAATTGATATGAGCAAATATCAATTTTGGTTCAACGAGTATTAGTAAAATGACAGTTTTGATTCACTTGTTTAAATTTAAAAGAAAAAGAAAATAATTTTTTTTTTTTAAAAAAAGTAGTTTTTAATAATCTAATTGCACACTTTTTTTTGTTTGATGGTTTAATTGTACATTGTGTAAAAGTTCAGTGGTCTATTTAACATGTTTTTCTTAAAACAATAGTCGTGGATGAAAATTAGTAAGAATTAAACATGTGGATTAAAACTGTTATTTTGATAATATTCGTGGGACAAAAATTGGTATTTGCTCTAATTGATATTGTATTTGTAGATTTTATTATGGAGTATTAGAAATGAAATATGGGTATAAGTAACTAGAGAATCATTAATATATCATCACTGGTGACCCTTTGACTCACTGCTGACTACCCCACAAACCCTTTTGACATTTGTACAACCAACTCTGCACAGATATTCTGGAGTGGCCTCATCAATGATCATATGTGTCCCTTATTTTACAATGCCCCAATACTTAAATTTATGAATATTTTTGTAATTATTATTAAGAATTATTGCTTATATATATATATATATATATATATATATATATATATATATATATATAATGGATGCCATTTATCCTATTTTGATTCTAAAGAGATTTTTAGTTTACGTTATGTTATTATAAACTTCACGATACTTCTGAGTGGATATGATATATTATTCTTTTTGTTTCTAAGAATATTAAATTCTTGAAAATAATTGTATAGTTCATTTTATCATATTATCTAGTGCCACATTTCTCAAATTATTAGATAATTTGAGATTTTAAGATCTTGATATCAAAGAATATAATAGCTCGAACCAAATTCACACAAGTATGAATGCTCATGTAAAAGCCGTGTTTATGCCAAAGATGTTTTGTCTTTGATTGTTTTTGCTTTTATGTAATAAGTTTTGACTTTATAATATATATATATATATATATATATATATATATATATATATATGGAATGCAACGGTTGTTATAATAACTATAAAGTTGAATCTGGACAGAATTAATGCGAAGAAATTATTAGAGTGTTGTTTTTAATTTTTAACAAAAAGAAAGGAATTTTAGCTTATGTTGATTTATTTTTTTTGGTATATTCATAATTTTTACTGTCTATATAGTGACTAATCCTTTCATTTTAAACACTCTTTTTTTTTTTTTTTTTAGTAGAACAACTAGACTGAAAATTTAAGAGTAGTTTCATATCCAAAGTCAATGATCCAAACTTGTAATTGAGTATCTGTTTATGGTAATCCGTAGGTGTTTAGTAAGGGAGAAAAAAGAAGAAAAAAAAAAAAAGCATGCGATTATTTATTTAGTTATTTATTTATTTATGATATTTTCCTTTTTTTCTTCCATTTGTGTCTTGGTAATAAATAATATGAGCAATCTAGGAGAAAAATTTTCCCTCTAATTCTCGATCCCCCACGCACCCACCAAAGCCTTTTGGGTGTTACACTCCTACATAAAGCTCCTCTTCGCGGAACAGTTTTACCACACCCAACTCTCTTCTTTTCTCTCTGAGCTACACCCACTTCGATCTCTCTCCAAACACCACACCCAGTAATAATCTTCAGATGGAGATGAAACTAGATTTTGTTTTGGGTTTGAAGTAGAGAACATTGAAACAAGAATTCTTGTGTTGTATTTCTGGTTTTGTTTTTTTTTTTGTTTTTGTGTTTTTTGTCTTTTTGGGTGTGCTTTAATGGCTGACAACAGCTATGATGACCCTGTAGCTTCAAGCCTACTGTGTGCAGAGACGAATAGCCCGTGGTTTAATGATTCTGATTCTCCGGCAAAGGATGAGGCTGCAGCCCAAGAATCCAATGGTGATAAAGGCTTGATCTTTGGGGGAGGAAGATCAGAGCCATTGATGGAGGTGCCCAGTCTGAGTGAGGAAAGCTTTAGTTTCATGGTGGAGAGGGAGAGCCACCATTTGCCCAGAGATGGGTATCTGAAGAGATTGAGAGGTGGGGACTTAGAGTTGAGTTTGAGAACAGAGGCCATTGACTGGATTTGGAAGGTGATCTGAGTTCATTAAATTAAAAAAATGCATTAATTTTCCTTAAATTTATGCTATTTCAAGATTGTATAAACTAATCATTCTTATTATCAGGTTCATTCCCATTGTGGGTTTGGAGACACTAGTCTGTGCCTATCCATAAGTTACTTGGATCGGTTTCTCTCCATGTATGAAATAGCAGAGGCAGTAAGTTTTGAGCAATTCTTGACCGCTTTTTCAGATTTTTTGTTTCGACATTGAATCCTTATGTTGTTTGTCTGGGGATTCATAGAAAAGCAGGAATTGGGCTGTGCAGTTGTTGGCTTTGGGCTGTTTATCGTTAGCTGCCAAAATGGAGGAGATCAATGTGCCATTGGCGGCGGACATACAGGTACGATGAAACACAATTTCCATTCTTTCTTAATCTTGTCCAATGGGGGATTGATTGATTGATTGTGTGGGCAGGTGGGGGGTTACAGGTTTATGTTTGATGGCAAAACAGTACAAAGAATGGAGCTTCTGATATTGACAAATTTGCAGTGGAGAATGCAGGCATACACTCCATGCACTTTCTTGGACCATTTTCTGAGAAAGATTAATGGTGATAATAAACTCCCACCACCAGACCTCATCTCTAAATCAATACACATCGTTTTAGGCACCATGAAAGGTGCCCCCCTTGCTTATATATTAATTGTGTTCCAATAATTTCCAAATCATCAGTGTTTGATCTCTTGGATTCTTGGAATGAATGCAGGAATTGATTTCTTGGAATTCCGGCCATCTGAAGTTGCAGCGGCAGTAGCAATGTCTGTTTCTGGGGACACACAAACCGCAGGGGAAGTCATATTTAAGGCACAAGTACTACACAAGGTAAAAAAAAAAACACAAATTATTTAAACTAAGTGGTGCCCACAAACACACACACACTATAGGCAAGGCAGGACCAAATCTTGAACATCTTGGGAGTACAGTACAAGAAGCCAAGAATGTCCCAAGATTGTAACTTTGGCATGACTGTGTGGAAATTTGGCGCAGGAGAGAGTGTTGAAGTGTGTTGATCTGATTAGAGATTTGAGGATAGCTGCAAATCTCAATGTGGGAAGAAGAAGAAGAAGAGTGCCTCCCAGTCCAAATGGGGTGCTGGAAGCTGCATGCTTCAGCTACAAAAGTGATGACCCAGACACTAAAAGGAGGAGATTGGACTCACCAGACACTACAGACAAGAAGAAGAAGAATTAAAAGAGCAACCAAAAACCCAAAAAAAAAAGTTGGGAGCTTTGAAAAAGTTATCAATTTAAGACAAAAAAGATGGAGTAAGAAGGGAGGGGAGCTGCTTTTAGCATGAAAAGAATTGGACCAGCTGTTAGTAAATAATCCTTAGTTGTCAACAACTATAGTAAATAGGTAAGAAGCTGAGATGGGAAGAATGGGTATTTTGGTAATTGGGATTTGGGAGAGCAATTTCTTGTGGTACAAAAAGGGTCATTTATTATTTTCCTTAAAACTTTTTTTTACTTTTTAAAAATCTCTCGGGAAGGAATTGTAGTTTCATATTCTATTGTTATAAAATAAATGCAAAATGGAAAAAAAAAAAAAAAGAGAAGAAATAATAAAAATTAAATTTCAGCGCAATTGTGTAAGCAAATACTTGCAATTGTGGCCCCAAATTCCAAGATGGCGCAAAAAAGGGGGGTGGGGGATAATGTTGACAATTTGACATGTTCTGTGAAATAACCAAGTACGACGTCGTGTCACTTTTGTTTTTTTGGGCGTAATAGCCAGGCCACGCCGTGGTCCAAGGGCTGCTTACAACTTCTTGTTTGAGCCGAGGCCCGGGTTTAGGAATATTCTTAACAATTTTAAGGTTATAACCAAACATGTCCTATCTTGTAATTTGTCCTATGTTTTTTTCCACCTTTGCACCACTTAAGAAGATGCCTCGCGGTTGAACTACATGGAACTTTTTGTTTATGTTTAGTCTACGTCATCGCACATATGGGAGTGTTGGTAATGATTGACACACTAAAATAATACTGGGTATAAAAAAACATATTAAAATTTTATGAAGAAAATGCATCCTCAATAAATGGTGTATGTTTCTGATTTACTAAGCGATCGGTAAATCTTGTTGTCCATAATGTAATTTGGGAGGCTATTTATGTGTCTGATTGAGATGAATGAATGGACACTTCACTTCTTATCTTGGTGACATTCTTTTACAGATTTAATGCATTAAATTTTAACATGAAAAAGAATTTATATTTTAACTATTTCAGGAGAAATCTCAATAATTATATCACAATAAAAAAGACTCAAGAGCACATCTATGTTGGATTCCTTAAACTTCTCTAATCCCATAATAAACTCCCTAAATTCTCTAGTTTTGGGAAAAATAAAAATGTGTGCAACTTGGTCAACAGAGTAGGGTTACTCATTACCCTGACAACTTTTTTTTTTTTTTTTTTTTTTTTTTTTTGGAACAAGGGAACTCTGGCATAAGAAACCTTGGGAATGCAAGGACAGTGGCAACAGTACTACCGAGATGGTAAATGGATTGATTTTTTTTAATTATTTTTTTTTTAATTTTTTGTTTTCAAGTCTTAGGTTAAATAAAACGATAACAAAATTTTTCAAAAAAATAATATAATAATTGAAGTAGTTATTAATTAACTGATGATCACTTCAATCGTCCAGCGAAAACGTGAAGTGCACACATGTTTACTAGGCATTTTGCATGTATTCATTGTATTTTCTATTTAAATCAAGATTTTAATAGTAAAGCATCGGTATTCTTACCACTCTGCCACTTGATTTGTTTTCTTCCCTAACAACTAAAGGACGTACTCATTAAAAACATCCACCAAAGATGCTTTTAAAGGGATTTGCACCCCGAATTTGAATAAATGTATTTATCTTTACTTTAGACACTTTCAATGGAAGTATAAATAATATGACATGTCTCAAATTTCACACACGTACGGTAGAAATGTGAGATATTACTTGTGTTTTTAAGCAACACACCTTAGCTTATTAAGACATAGGTAGATTTATTGAATTTGTTGATGAAAACAGCCGGTGATCAGGTTGAGGTTGGTGTTTCCCTATTCATGCATATATATCTGGGTATAAGTTTGGTGGATAAGTAACAGCAAATTAAATTATTACTACTGGAGATGGACATGACGACGACATTATTATATTGATTCAAACACAATATATACCGAAGATCGAATATCGAAAAGATTTGGTAACACAGCACTGTTAAGGTGAAGACTGATCCAAGATATAGGTGACGAAGACCACTGCTCATAATCAGAAAAAATCCGATTTCTACTTATTCTCATTTCTCACACCTACTTTTACAAAATTCTTCATTCCTACATATGGATTCAATACTCAATCTAATCTATAATTGCTATGGGCGTTAATATAATTTGGTGCCGCATTTTTTATACATAAATCCAAATCAAAAGTAACTAAAACTATTGCTAATAACCCTTTTTTTTTTAAAAAAAAAAAAAAAATTTACATAACAATGCTCATTTGCCTCCCATGCATAGACATCCAGCCCGAAACTTCACCAATCCTAATGCTATGGACCCGTGTCCATCATGCATTGTGGACATGGTAATGGTGCCGTTAGTGACACCGCTATCTTCAATTTTTTTTAAAAAAATTTCAGACCGCTTTGTTATAAGAGTATATGTTCATAATTTTATCACTATATGTTCATAATTGTAAGTTCATAATGTCAGAGCTCTGTGTTCATAATTCCATAACTGTACATTCATAATTCTGTAACTGTACATTCATAATTCAATAACTGTAAATTCATAATTTTTGAAGCTCTATGTTCACAATTTTAGAGCTCTATGTTCATAATTTTATCACTATATGTTCATATTGTAAGTTCATAATACCAGAGCTCTGTGTTCATAATTCTATAACTGTACATTCATAATTCTATAACTGTACATTCATAATTCTATAACTGTACATTCATAATTTTTGAAGCTCTATGTTCACAATTTTAGAGCTTTATGTTCATAATTTTATCATTATATGTTCATAATTGTAAGTTCATAATGTCATAGCTTTGTGTTCATAATTCAATAACTTACATTCATAATTCCATAACTGTACATTCATAATGCCACAAACGAATAACGCCGTTAACGGCGAGACAAAATCAATTTTTTTTTTTTTTTTAACTAGAATGCCGCGTTTTTCCTGAAAACGACATTGTTTTGGACTCGTGTCCACAATGCACAGCATAATTTGCGAAACTTCACCCTCCTATGCAAGTGTTTGATCAATTGTTATACCCTGCACCACGGCGCATAGTGCACTGTGCGCCCCGCGCCTCCCAAAACGACGTCGTTTTGGGAGGCGCGTAGAAAGTTGACATGATTATATATATTTGTTTATACAATTATGTATATTTTTTTATACAATTATGTACATTTTTTTTATACAATTATGCACATCCGAATCAGGAAATTTTTGTGTATTATGTTAAGAGTTGATGTGTATTATGTTAAAAGTTTATGTTTATTATGTATTATGTCAGATTATGTATATTATCTTTTAAAAAAGAGTATGTGTATTTTGTTATATAATTATGTACATTCATGTATACAATTATGTGTATTCTAGTATAACATTATGTACATTTTTTAACATGAGATTTTTTTAAAGGAAAATTAACTGCCAAACACTGGGTAGCGAAATTACAAAAAAAAAAAAAAAAAAAAAAAATTGAAACGACGTCGTTTTGCATCTGGGCGCACAATGCAACGCGCGCCGTGGTGCAGGATATAAATTGCCGTGTTTGATAGAGCATGTATAATTCCAACGGCAAATTATGCTGTGCATCATGGTGCATACGGATGCAAAAACGACGTCGTTTTATTAAAAACGCGCGTCTCACTTAAAAAAAATCAGTTTCGATTCCCAGCAACAACATTATATTGTGCATAATTTGGACTATATATCCAGAATCAATGAACTAAAATTCCAGAATCTATGAACTAAAAATCCATAATGAATGAACTAAATATCCAGCATGAATGAAAAAAAAAAAATCAGTTTCGATTCACGTCTAAATATCCATAATCAATGAACTAAAATTCCAGACTCTATGAACTAAAATTCCAGAATGAATGAACAACATAATGCTGTTAAGAAGAATCGAAACTGAATTTTTTTAAAGTGGGATGCACGTTTTTAATAAAACAACATCGTTTTTGCATCCGTATGGATGCACAGCATAACGATCCAATTCCAACTAAATGGGGCTAGGTTATAACTTTTGTAAGTCTTTGCGAGTTGACCCGCGGACTAAAATTTTTTAACCCCCTCGTGGGTCAACTTGAAGAATTTTAAAGAGTTATTATAAATTAAAAAAATTTATTATAACTATATATATATATATATATATATATATATATATGTATGTATATATATATATGTATGTATGTATGTATGTATGTATGTATGTATGTATGTATGTATGGATGGCTAGCCTATAATCTGTGAGGCTTGTATTTTCACGGGTCAAAATTTTTAGGCTCAAACCTGCCCATTGTAGGGCGGTTAGGGTTGGCCCGGGGACTTTGGCCTACTTTGACAACCTTAATTTCAACTCAATAGTTTTTTTAAGGTCCGTTTAGAAATTTGAAAATAATTTTTTAAAAATGACTCATTTTTTTGAAAAATATTTAAATTTTATAGTGTTTGATAGAAAGTCAGAAAATTAGCTTTTTATGTTTTGATGGAAGTTAAGAAATTACATTTTTTCTATTTGGTTCATTTTCCTAAAAATGAAATTATTATTTGTTATATAATAATAATAATAAGTGGTGATGGAAGTTAAGAAATTACATTTTTTCTATTTGGTTCATTTTCCTAAAAATGAAATTATTATTTGTTATATAATAATAATAATAAGTGGTGATGATGTGGTGCAATGGTGGTATAGGGTAGTGGTGTGGTGGTTGCGGTGCGGGGCGGGGGGTGGGGTTATTCCGAAAACTTGCTTGAAAAGGGATGTGAGAGACGATAGAGACAAGAAAAATATAATCCGGAAAATGATTTCCGAAAGTAATTTTCTAAGTTTCCAAACAGACCCTAATATTTTCAAGCAAATGATAGTACGGATCCCGAATGATTGTTGTTACGTCATAGATTACGGTCCACTTTGCAAAGTGAACCTAGATATTTCTTTTTTACCTCTTTAATTTCTGTTTCTCTTTTCCTTTTTGCACACATAAAATTAAGAGTTAATTCTATTTTTTGTCCTAGATTTATATGTGTCATTCCACTTTTAGTCTTTTTTTTTTTTTTCAGAACATCTCATATTTGATCCTACTATTATTGTGGCATGACTATGTTTGGTCCCACGTCAACAAACTAATTTAAATGTTGTTAAATACAAAGACATTTCAGTCTTTTTTATACAAAGTTGGTTAATCTGTTATATTTTTACGAAAAAATCTCAAATTCACGACCATAGTCAGGCTTCAATTGGAATCCGCGCCTCCGCAACAGAGTCTCTGCAACCTGAGCCTCTACAGCGGTGGAATGACACATAAATCTAAGACAAAAAAAAAAAAGAATTAACACTTAGAACTAAATAGACTGAAATGCCCTCATATTAACGACATTTAAATAAGTTTATTGGTGGATGACAAAAAATGGTCATGCCACAATAATACTCAGACCAAAATTGGATGTTTTGCTAAAAAGGACTAAAAGTGAAATGTCACCTATAAATCTATAACAAAAAATGTATTTAATTCTATTGATTTTTGTTCATATTGATGCTTTGGATGTCATTATATTACGATCAATTGCTTTAATTTTTTGTTTGCTTGTTTGTTTTTTTTTTTTAAACCTTATTCCTATTATAGGGTCATGAATAACCAAACATCAATATTGGTAATAATTTCAATTCCACCCTATTATCAAACATGCAAAACACTTTCTCCAAAAACCCATTACCATTACCATTACCAAGTATTTGATTTCCATTCCAATTTTAATTTTCATGTGCGAACCAAACACACCCTTATATTGTTTTTTTTTTAAATAAAAATAAATCTATAGGTATATAAAATTATTACTTTAGATACATAAATTTGGTTCATCAAAATCATTATTGTAAATACATAAATTTATTACTAAATATACATAAATTCAAGTATATAACTTTTCTATTTAAAATACATAAATTCACTATTTTGTTTTTTTTGGTGTAATAAATTCACTATTGTTGGTGTCATTTTTATGTACCTAGAATATTATTTTTATCTACTTATAATATTATTTTTATATAATATACATTAGTCCACCATACAAAGTAGACCATTATCGATGCAGACATAATTTTCCCCGATCATTGGTTAAATCATTAAAATCAAATCCTCGTTTAAAGAGTTTCAGCTATTAATAATTCCCACCTTGCTTAGTTATCTTTCAATTATTTGTCATCATTTTTTGTAATAAATATAATTCTTGTTTACTGCGAAATAAACATGTTAATTTTATTAAAATTCATTTCCCTCAGTAAATATTTGATTTTGATTCTAATTTGGAACTACATTAGTTGCCGTTTATGTCATCCGTTGGGAGCTATATATTACTATTTACTAGGCATACCATAACAAAACTATAGCTTCATTAAATAAAGTACATAAGATAGCCACAAAAAGAGGCACCCTATGTTCTTGTTTACTAGTAAAGTCCATATTTTTACCAGTAGGCTTCAATTGCAAATGAACTGTTTTTTTTTTTTTTTTTTTTTTTTTTAAATACAATTTTTGAGATGCCATGTAGTATAGAAGTGTAGGAAAAAAAAAACAAAACAAAAAGGATGAAAAAAAATGGAGAGCCCTTCTACGCACCCAGCGAGCGCATGCCTGTTCTCTGCGGCCGATAAGTGGGCTCAACGCGCACCTACAACAATATTTTCTAACTTTTTTGATAGTAGGTCTCGCAAAATATCAATTTGTTAATTCTATAATTATTTTACTTAGTATTAACATCAAATAAGAAGAAACTCTTAAAATATAGAAATCTTTCCAATGCAAAATTTTTAATCACTAAATTTATGTAATAGTGTTATTACTTATAAAATAAAACATTAGTTTATAATTGCATTTAAAGAAAAAAAATACCATGGTGGAGAAAAATTAAAAGATAAAAGAGGCATAAGAAATTAAAGAATTGAAGCATGAATAATCTCCAAAAATGGTATATAAATTAAATTTTCATTGGAAGACATATATTGAATTCACATCAAAATGCAAGATTCTGTGAAACATGATTGTGCTTTAAGGCAATCCAATGATTTGCATACCTTGCAAGTAAAGCACATGCCAGGAGGGAGAATGCCCCAAAACCACCATTTCATCAAATTCCAATTCTCTATCTGATCTCAAATAATATTATACATAATCCAATTTACCTGAACAAATATTTGGCGCCTAAATCAACTGTTCCAACTGAAATAACGTCTCTTAAACTAACAGTTGTTTGTCCCTTGAACTTAAACTTCCTGTCGTCTTCAATCCAACTGGTCAACCGGTAACCAGTCCAATATCCTGCATGTCACCATCGCATCCTCTACGCAGATATATATAACACAGTGCTCAGCTCCCAGAACCAAACAACAACTCAAAAAGCTTCAAGCTAGATTCGCCATGGACCATTAGCTTCCAATTCTACGTACGTACATTATTTACAGGTTTTTTTTTTTTTTTTTTTTTTTTAACAGTCGGCACTAACTTATTAACGTTGTAGGATTTGGGAAATTAAAGTTGGATGTCGTCCGATGAGGAGAAGAAGATATGGGGGGAGCTTGAGAGGGATGTGGAGAGAGAGCTGGAGGAAGAAATCAAGGATGGGATATGCAAGCTTGCTCTAAGATTGCACAGGCTTTATAGTGACCGGAAAGAGAGAAATAACAATAATAATGGTGCAAACTCAGATGATAGCAAAACCCTTTCAGAAGTCAGCATAAATATAAGAATGGAAGGAGGGACCAAGATTGAGATCAAGGAAATCAAGAAAGAAGCCCGCCGGAGCAGTACCCGCCGCGGCGCAATAACAGTGGCGCCGCCTCCTCCGCCGCCGCCGCGTGGCCAAAAGTTCGACTGGCCCAATACCCTCCGGTCTGGACCGAGTCATCATCCCACCGGTTACAACAAGCAGATTGAGAAAAGCAACGCAACTACTGCATCGATACAGCGCAAAAAGAAGAAGAATCTGGGATTAATTAACGCCCTTGAACTAGGATGGAAACCTTAATTAACTCTACTCTTTAAATCTTGTTAACTCCGAAAACCCTTTTCTTTTTCTTTTTCTTTTTCTGCTTTTCCTAATTATTATGCATCATGCATGGTGAATGACGCATATATGACTTCTAAGACTTGGGAACTTTAATTTGCTGTTTGTTTGTGCTCAGTGGTGTAATAATAAGTGGCATGCATGAGGTGAGCATGACTTATTCTTCCATGTTTAGACTGCAAAAGTTTCAGTAGTTTCTTTTCCTCTATATGTTCATAACTATTACATGATTATCATATACAACTAAGTATGATATATCTAATTGTACCAAGCAGTATCGGTAACCTATGTTGTGACAACAATACCACTAATTAAATATGACATATCTAATTGTATTAACTTGAGACGGCCTCTTCGTGATGAGACTATGGATGTTAAGGATACTCATGGCTGATATGTTTTGTCTCTATTTAGTTCTAATTATTCTCTTTTAGAATAGCAGTGTTAAACTGGTGGTTACAACTTCCTGCTAACCACCTGCTAGCTTCTCTGCCTTGTATGCTATTTATAGCTAGTTGTTTGTGTCAATTAATCGAATTCAGTTCATAATCTTATAATGGTAGCTATTAAAGATTGGTGTGACATATTTCGGATTGTATTAGTTACTATTAAGTATTATCTCAAGAAAATATTTATTTTCTTTAGAAGTAGTGATCTTAGTTCTTTAGTGAGGACACAAGTTAAGTTTTGAGGAGAAATTATGAAATTTTAAAATAAAGAGAAAGTTTTGTATTTGATAGTCTTTTTTTTTTTTTTTTTGAAATCTTTTTTGTATTCTATAGGTATATCACATTAAAGTATTTGGTAAAACCCTAACTATAATATTAGAAGCAATAATTTAGATGATTTAGTTCATAAAATTCAATTGAAATAAAAATAAAATTGATTAACACACTTCATTCGAGTACTAACACAATAATGGAGAGTAGAGATAAAAGAGTTAAGGCCCAACTGGGCCCATTGGGATACTTGTGATCCAACTTGGTTTTGGACCTGCTCAAAAGCGGCCTATCTATTGTCAAGTAATTTGGTAAAATTTACTCCTAATTTTTTATAAATAAATTTTTAAATAAAACAAGAAAAAATTCAAACACTTTCCTCACATAAAAAATTAAAATAATTCAAGAATAAAAAAAAAAAAGAAAAATGAAAATAAATGTGGTCCCATAAGCAAAACAAATCCCACTCAAAGTGGCACCAGAATCTGAACCGACTGTTAAAAATGAACAATACTGTGTAATAATTAAATTGTCCTCTCTTTTTAAGCCTATAACCGATTATTAGGGCATCAGGCATTAGTTACATGTAACTTTATGAAAAGGAAACATGGCGAATATAGTCTATAAATTATACTTAAATTGTATATTCTATCCATGAATTATTAGTTATTACCTTATACAAAATTTTTCTTTAAATTATGTTGAAAGTGACAGTTTCTATCCATTACTTATAAATTTTGTTAACATTAACAATTTATTTTGAATTTTCAAATTATTAAAGGACATATTAGTCATTTTGTAAACTTATTTTGCCAATTGTCTCCGATCCATGAATCTTGATATTTACACTACTTTTACCACAAAACCCTTGCTAAATACTTATGGAATAATGGTCAAATAGGTCATCGAACTGCACATGATAATGCAATTAGGTCACTAAATCTAAAAAATCAACAATTTGGTCCCTAAACAAACCAATTTCTAACAATTCTTTCAATTTGCAGGTTTCCAACATGTCATCCTCCCAAATTAATTATTTTTAAAAAAATAAAATTTAAAAATTAATTATTAAAATTTAAAAAATAAATAAATAAAAGGACTCCGGCCGGAGACGAAGAAACCTTCTTCTTCTCCGACCGATTTCTTCGTCTCCACGACCGGAGACGAAAAGTTTCTTTGCCTCCATGGCAGGAGACGAAGAAGGTTTCTTTGTCTTCATGGCTAGACTTCGTCTCCACGGCCAGAAACAAAGAGTTTCTTCGTCTTTGGCCATGGAGACAAAGAAACCGGCCGGAGACGAAGAACCTTCTTCTTCTCCGGCCGATTTCTTCGTCTCCATGGCCAGAGACGAAGAGTTTTACGTCTCCATGGCCGGGTTTCTTCGTCACTATGGCTGGACTTCGCCTCCACGGTCGGAAACGAAGAGTTTCTTCGTCTCTGGCCATGGAGACAAAGAAACCGGCCGGAGACGAAGAAACCCCGGAGTCCTGTTTTTCTTTTCTTTTTTCTTTTTTCTTTTTAATTTAAATAATTAATTTTTAAAATTTATTTTTTTTAAAAAAAAATAATTAATTTGGGAGGATGACCTGTTGACCTATTGGAAACCTGCAAATTGGAAGAATTGTTTGAAATTGGTTAGTTTAGGGACCCAATTGTTAATTTTTTAGGTTCAGTGGCCTAATTGCATTATGGTGTGCAGTTTGATGGCCTATTTGACCCTTATTTCAATACTTATTTATCTTGATTGAGGAGGAATCTGAGAAGCAAAAATGACAAACAAAATATTAATTAGGATCGAAAATAGACCAAATTGTAAGTTTGATATATTAAGGCCCGTTTGGAAAGTAGGAAAATGACTTCTGGAAAATGGTTTATGGAAAATGAGTCATTTTTTGGAAAACATTTTCCTTTTCCAGTGTTTGGTTGCATTTGAAAAACTGTTTTGGTGTGTTTGGTTCATTTTCTGGAAAATGAGTAGAATGGTATAATTAAATATTTTAATTATTTTATTTAGAATAAAAAATACATTTTAAATGTTTAAAACTAAAAAAAAAAAAAAAAAAAAAAAAGGTTTCTGGAAGAACCCAGTTCCACCGAAACCATAGCTGTGGTTTTCGGCAGAAACTTAAATAAAAATGAAATAGCTATGGCGGAAAATGACTTCCGCCAAATTTTGGCGGAAGTCATTTTCCGCCAAATTGAGCACATTTTTTCCAGTCAATGAAAAATGTTTTCCGTTAACTGGATTTTTCAAGTGTAGCCAAACACCAAAAATTCGGTAAATGATTTTCAGAAATAATTTTCCGGGTTTCCAAACACAGCCTTAGTTTATTTTATTTTTTCTTTTGTTCGTTGTATGTAAATTGCTATTGTTATTGATATCTCATTGAGTTTATATCTTATTGGGTAATATAACAATTTAATTATTAACATATTAAAATAACTATTTTTAAAAATTCATTATGTAAGTAAAAAATATTTTTAAAAAATAAAAAATATTTACCTCCAAAATCTAGTAATAAATAATAATTAATATAATGAATACTTTTTTTTGAAATAATAATTAATATAATGAATACATTTAATGATAAAAATAACCGGAAATTAGAAGAATCTTTCTCTAATATAATTGCAATTAGCAAAATAAATTGGAGAGTCAAGCTACAAAATTAAGGTATATCTTCAATCATTAGTAATTTCTTGCTTGTTATTTTTGCTTCTTTTGTTCCTTCTTGATCAAGATAGACAAATATTTAGTAAGTGTTTTGCGATAAGAGTAGCGTATATATGAAGATTTATGGAGGAAATTTGAAAATTTTTTACAAAATGACCAATATTTTTTTTTGAATGCGACTGTATTACAATGTAGTATCTGTTCATAATTACTGAGCCAATAACGCCTCCACTGAGGCTCAAACTCATAACCTCCTATATGGAAGTCCAACCCGGGTGCCATTTGAGCACAAAGTGCTTGGCAAATGACCAATATTTTAATAATTGAGAAATTCAAAATAACTTGTTAATATTAACAAAATTTATAAGTAATGGACTGAAACTATCACTTTCAGCATAATTAAAAGGGAAAAATTGTATTAGATAATAATTCATTGATTGAGTCCACAACTTATGTATAATTAATAGACTAAAATCGTCATTTTGCCTTTTAAAAATTAAACTTCTCCTGTATCAATTATCTCTGCAAAAACCTCCAGTTAACTGCAAAAAAAACCTCGCTGCCTCCCTCCCCTCCCAAACCTTGCATCTTGTCGTTCCTTCGTAGTGTGGTCGTCGGCCTTTGGCCGGCGGTCTCATTCTTGCATAGTTCCTTTGTATTTTGTTTTTTAGTTTCACAACTTCCAAAACCAGATTTAATCAAGAAGCCCCTCACCATTGTCAACGCTTATTTTTCAACAAAAAGGGAAAAGAAGGCTTTGTGTCAGTGTTCTTTTCTTGAATCTAGGTAATGAAGACTTTGAGTTTTGAAAAAGGACAAGAAGTTTTGTGCTTTGATCAATGTTAAGAAGGCGTGGTGTTTTCTTGACAGAAAAAGGCATGGAGTTCTGTTTTTTTAATCTAAAGATCTGTGTTTTTCACTTTTTCCATAAGTTATTTTGACAATTTATTTCCTCTCACTTCTTTGGCGAGTTATTCCCTCTTGTTTCTTTGGCGAGTTCTTTTTTCATTAAGGTGAAACGATTTAATTGATCATGGCGTATGTTTATCTGATCCTGAGCAACGAAGTGATATGCAGTTCAGATTAATGAAGATATTGTCTACAGACAGAAGAACTGCAATAGTTACTCGGGTGGTATGCAAGACTTCTCAAACTGAGTCAGTCTTGGATAGCTATATCATTAACATCAAAGAAGTTTCAGGTTCCTCTAATGAATTCAACTTCAATCTTGTAACACAGTTTGCGATTCAAGTTTCTTTTAGCATTGCTAGGAAAGTTGTTTCTATGTCTGACTGTAAAAAATGTTTTATCATTCTATCAATCTTTATTGTAACTATTTCAACTTATGTTTAATGAATTAGCTCTTTATTTTTCAAAAATAAAAAAAAAATTAAAAAATAATCTTCTAAAAATTAGGGGCCATGTGCACAATTGTTATACCATGGACTAGAATCCATCTTACATTGTGGACCGTGATCCAAAAATTATGTATTTGCAGTTCATATATTCTGTACCTGCAGTTAACAGTTTATGTGCCTTCGATTTATTTACAGGCACATCAACTGTTAACTTCAGGCATATAATCTGAAGATTATTCTTAAAACATAGTCCATAATGTAAGATTGACCCTGATCCATGGTATAATTTGTCTTATGCATGTGGAACGGTGCTGGTAGCACATTGCTAAAATCAAGTCTAGCCATGATGATCACCAAAAGTGTGACCTATTTTAGCTATTAGCCAAACCGATTGAGACATATGATATAATACTTACCCAATTGAAGGCTATGTAATATTTATTGGTTTGAAAGTTGAACTCCATCTATTATGAAACATTATGAAGTAAAACAAAAATGGGGGTGAATATATAATTACATTTCCAGAAGTAGATGTATCACTAAAAAGTAAGATGGGGTAGCAGGTGTTTTAGCATTAGCATGAGTGGTACTATATACATTTTCAAGTGGCAATAATAATTTCTACTTCCAAAGTTTACGGATCAACTTTTGGAGTCAACATTAAACAAACCCAGTCAAACACCAGCAGCTAAAGTAGACACCCAAACCTCAGCATTAACCCATCCCACAGGTTTAGGAGATTGCTAATTATGGTACAAGAAAAACATGTGTCTTAATCACCTGTTTGGAAAGGATAATTTGTTTTATTAAGACAAGAATATAATTCTTTCACATGCGGTTGGGAAAAGTGGGTAAAAGGGAACTTTGCTCAAAACATAATATTTGCTTGCTACTGTATAGTATTTGCTATTTACCTTTGGTAGCATTATTGCAACCATCACCAGGCACAGTAAAATTGACAATTTGGTCAATTTAACTGTGTTATCATAGTGTAACTACTGTGGGTACATTGGGTGCAATGTTGAAGAGATTCAACCTCTATGACTATAATTATTAATGTTACTTTAATTTTTTTTTTTTTCAAAAAACAATAAGTTTCAATTTGAGTTGTTTCAAATTCCTTGGAAAGAAGGCAGAAAAAAAAAAATTAAAGCGGAAAAGTAAGAATAGGGTATACATGCCAAATAAGATTTATGTTCTTCAACTAATTAAGCAACACACTACTTCCTAGGATTAATATATCATTAGGACCGTATCATCAATACGTTCCATTAACCCAATAGGGTAGTTTAAGTGACAAATGAGTTCTCTTTGTAGGGGAAAATTTTTCGATAACCCGCCTTTAGACCAGTTCCCGTTCTCAAAGTAACAGTCTTTTTAAAAATAATTTTTTTCTTTTTAACATCAAATGTTGAAGAATAAGAGGACCACGTACAATTATCAAGAAATGGCTCCCTTGTGTTGAAACGGAAATTTCACCAAAACAAGCCAAGAATATACTGCAATGTATACGTTGGCCTTAACTGGCAAAATTTGGACATTACTACAATACATGATAAGCCCCAAATTTCCTCAACTCCACACACTTTATTCACTAACTTCAAATTATATATTCTTCTGACCTAAAGGTCTTCTTTGAGTGACAAAAAAAATTTAAGACTCAATTCCCGTAATCATGAGTTTATTGACGTTTAATTGTACTCTATTGTAAAAATTAAATATTTTTGCAAAGTCATGATGGCCAATTAAATCTTGACTCATTACAAACCAAGTGTATGTTTATAAGGAAAGATGAAGATAATTTGTAGATGGTCATCAAACATGGTTATATAAAGCTGGAACTTTATCTCTTGAGATAGAGCATCCAATAGAGGTTTTTGGGGAGTTTTTTCACAGTTAGAACAGAGCGGCTGAGTTGGAGGAGAAAAAAGAAAGGAGAGAGAAAAAAATTGCAGCAATTAAGTTTTTTGTGAGCTCTAGAATATGAAAGAAAAAAAAAAGAAAAGAAAAAAGAAAAATATTGTCCCTTGGTGCATGTTCAGCGCACCTAGCTACACACGCATGGACGCGCACTTTGACGCATGGATAATATTTATTTTTTACCTGACAACTTGTTTTCTTTTTCTTTTTCATTTGTTTTTTTTTTCCATTATCACTCTTATTTGGACTTTAAAAACCGAGCAAAAAAACTTTACTCTTACATCACGTTTGGTTCACGGAATGAATTTTGAGGTAATAAGAATGCTATTCCATACGGGATGGAATATGCAAGGAATATAATAGGAATTGTATTCTATTTTTTGGTTCGCAGAAGGAATAGACTTTAGGAATTATATTACAGTGGTTGGTTGATTTAAGGAATAGAAATGAAATATGTTGTAAAATACATAAATACCCTTATAAAAATATGTGATGGTGGCGATGGTGGCAGTGGCGGTGGTGGCGGTAGCGGTGGTGGTACAGTGGTGGTGGTGATTTGGTGGCGGTGGTAGCGGTGCTGGAGTGGTGGTGGCGGCGGTGTTGAAAGAAGAAATAAATTTAATTGGGGGGTAAAATAGGAAATAGAAACTTTAGACTATTCCTGAGAACTCAGGAATAGCCTAATACCAAGGGGCCCCAGGAATCTCTATTCCCCTTGCAATGGGAATATGTCATTCCCGGGAACAATGTTCCTGAGGATACAAGTGGTTACCAAACAGAGAAATAGACCTATTATTGGGAATGCTATGCCATTGCAGGCCTATTCCGTGAACCAAACAGCCCATTAGAGTTACTCTTAGATTCAACTTCAAAGAAAGAAGAAGAAAAAAAAGGAATTTACATCATCAAGAAATTAAAAATCCATTCTTATATTACACTAAAATATTCTTAAGGATATGATTTCACTCTCGCAACATCTAAACTCAATATATATAATAATAGAGAACTTTGAGCATCACTCTCCCCCATGACCCGCTTAACGTATATTATCATATTCCAACACATTTATTACATCATCAAAAGATAAATAAAGGATTCTCTAAAATTTTGACCACCGATTCTCAAATCAAATTTTATAGTACAGCAAAAAATCATGACTTTTGAGTTTTTCTTTAATCAATTGGTTAAGGTGCTGATAAGCTAGGTTGCCCTAATATATAGACTAATATACACCATTAATTATATTAATATATGTTTCAATCTTCTTTAATCTGTTTCTCCATAATCTGAATATCAGAGAAGATGATCGGGCAGGCCAGGTCCCAGTGGTTAGGGACGATACTCGTCCAATGAGAGGCCAAAAAATTTGAAAGAGCAATTCCACCAAGTAACATACATACAAAAAATACACACAGATGAAGGCCTGTTGGAATATTATAATGCATAAGACTGTCGTGTTGCAGTCGTGCCCACATGTTTCCTCTGGAACGTAGTAGTAGTAGAACAAGAAAGAATTTTTTTTTTTTTTTTTTTTTTTTTATAAACAACAAAATTAAAGAAAAGAAATTATTCAAGAAAAAAAAAAAAGGCAATAAATAAAAGTAACATCAGAATCAAGCTGGCTGGGCTGCCTGCCTGCCTTTGGATCTCTACCCTTTCTGGAATAGGCATCCTTCTGCTACTGCAACCTGTTGCTGAAATCATGCATCTTATTATTCAAAATTTTCTTTCCCAAGAAAACTAAAATGCTCTGAATTCAAACTAAAGCTAAAATCATATATATCTACTCCGTATATATCTGAGATGATGACAATTATGAAGCCATTAAATATATGTATGGGTAAGAAAGTGCATTAATTATCTCATATTATCCCCCCTTCCCAAGGTCCACTCAACCCCCACCTGTAGTCTATGTTCACATAAAATCTTTCGTCATCTCCATCTCCATCCATCTCCCCTTCCTTGCTTCAGACCAGGTCAAACATACATACCCAACATTTACTATATTTATCAACATATTACACCACCATTATTTCAAATTCAAGAATACAATGCAACAAGAACACCAAAAAAAAAAAAAAAAAAAAAAAAGGGTAAAATACCCTTTAACGTTAACATTTCAAAACCTAAAACTTTACCAGACTGCTGAAAAAATCTGTTTTCTTTATGATGCATGGAGGTGAAGAAATGCACTGAGACTAAGTAGTAGAGAGTTATAGCAACCTTGTATTCAACCAAAACATTATTTAATTGCAGCAACAGCAAGAGTGGAGAGTTTAATGTATATGAAACATCATAATATATAGTAAAGGAAACAGGTAGATATACTAAACAATAACACCTAAATTCATCATTTTGATTGACATAGAGCTAGCTAGGTTTCAACACTGGGTTAATGATGGAGAAAATTAAAGCATAAATCCCAGCAGCAAGCTAAGGCCAGAGATAGACAATCTAAGCTAGCTACTTACAAAACATCTGGGCTAGCTAGCTTAACTAGATACTTAATTAGTACTCTTAATGGAAACTGAAATATAATGCATACTACATAGGTAGATAGATTGATAGATATGGATCATATACGAGGAGGATCTTGGTCTGGTTGGTTGGTGGTGTTGTTGTTGTTGTTTTGTTCTAGGGTTTTTTTAGCGACAGTGTGCTTGTTGTTATGCATCCAAACCTTGAACACGTGCCTTCTAACACCGTACTCGATGCAGAACTGCTCCACAGCTTCCTCGCTCTCCTTCTGAATCCGCCACCCTAATCGCTCCGCCAGCTCCACCATTTTCTCCTTCTGCACCTCTGTGAACTTTGTCCTGAACCGCTTCCCTTTCGACCCGCCGCCGCCGCTGTTGGGAGTCGCGGTGTCCATGTCCAGGTCCAGTTCTTCCATCTCCTCCCGGTACGCGCTGCCGGAGATGGAGGGGAGGGCCAGGGGCCTCTGCAGCGGCGCGTGGTGGTGGTGGTGGTGGTGGTGGAGGTAGCCAGACGGAGCGCGGTGGTGGTGGTGGTAGCCGACGGGGATAAGGGCGGCGGCGGTATTGATCTCCTTGCGGTGGAAATTTCGGTGGCAGTTGCAGGCGGCGCACTTGAGGGCGTCGAGGGTGCCGTATTCACCGGCGGGCATGAACTCCCCGCAGCCGTCGACGGCGTGGCCGCCGATTCCCACCGCGTGATTCTTCTGGCACTCTCGGTAGCGCGGCTTCCGCATCTGCAGCGGCGGCTCCGTCACCGGCAAATCTCCTCCTCCGTTGTCGTCGTCTTCGGGCATTCTGGGGTGAGCTGAATTCGAGTTGGACAGTGAGTCGTAACTCGGCCCCGTCCCATTTCCGCCGCTGTGTTGTTGATCCTCAAACTCCATGCTCTTTTTGCTCGCTTTTTTTATTAGCTAATAGTAATCCCCCATCTAATTATCTCCCATAATCTACACCTCAATATATAACCATCCAAATTTCACCGGCAACCTGGAAACCCCGTCTTTTTCCACATTTTCACTTTATTACTCTATTCCTACCCCCAATTTTACTTTAATTATGATTATGCCCACAAATGTTTTGCTTTTCAAACTAATAACCAACCTTTCAACTCATTGCAAAACAAAATTGAAAAAAAAAAAAAAAAACAAATCATATTTATTTAAATAGGTGATGTGTGTGTAAATACATGTAGTTATCTCAAACTTCATCACCGTTCATCTTTCCTCTCTCACCGCCAAAATCACCGCAATCTTTGACTAGTGATGATTTGTAATTACATATTAGCGCCAAGTGTAAAAAGTAACGTCATGTCATATGCCAGCTAATATGTTACTAAGAGCATTTACAATGGTAGAGTTATTTTGCAATTTTTAAAGAGTTTTTGTAAGCGTGATTAAGAAAAAGAAGATGGGAGAGGAGAGAAAAAAAGAAAAAAAAAACAAAATTGATTTTAAATAATAACAATAATATTCAATGCATCTGTCAGGCGCACCTCACGTGCCACTGGCGCTTGTAGTGCACGCGCTCGGAGTGGAAATTGCTGTGCACGAAACGCGCACAACAACTGCTCTTTTCTAATTTATTTCTCTTCCCTTGGGAAGAGAAATAACTCACCCCTAAAAGGCGTGAATAAACTCGACATTCGCCTTTGATATTGATGCTCTAAAAGAATAAGTCATTTAATTTTCGTCAAATTGCATGATTTTATATATGTCCAATACCTTAATTGCATTTTTAAAAAAAATTGTGTGACCTAATTACATTTTCTTATTTAGTTTGGTGATTAAAAATTGAATTGATGGAGTATAATGGGGGCATAATGAGAATAGTAAAAGTGTGGGGTGCAAGGAGTGAAGAACATATAATTTTGGTGAGCAGAGAGAGACAGATGTTGCAAAGGTATTCACATACTTTCTAACTTCTGAAACAAGTGTTTCTCCCTCTTGCCCAAAATGGTTCACTCACTGCCTACACCCGGTCAATTGCGTCAGTGTACTATCTCATCATTGCTTTTACGGAAAAACGTAATTCTGTATGTATTTTTATTTTAATTCAAAAGTGAAATAAGTCTCAAAATAATGGAAATTGGGCATCTAATTGAAAAATATTTTCGAGTGTTTGGTAAATATTTGTTACTTGATTGGGTTAGTGAGTTTGACTAGTTTATAGAATTAGGTAATTGTAAAAATATATTTGATAAATTAGTTGTTAACTAATAATTGAATACATACAAAATGACTTTATCAAAAAGATAATAGAAAAAGCTCTTTTAAACAACTTTTTGAATTTTAGCGTTTTGAAACACTAAATTGTTATAAAAAAACTAAACTGTTAGGCCATCCCCAACCCATTAGACCAAATTCTACACTAAAAGAAATATTCTCAGAATATTCTTACATCAAAATTTATTCATCTCCAACCCATTACACCAAATTCTACACCAAATTTATTTCTATACAAAAATAATTTGTTTTCTCATAAATTAAAACTTTAATTTTTTAATATAAAATTTAATTGTAATGCAAATAATATTTTTATTCCACAATAATATAACATATAACAACTATTATATTTAATTTTCAAAATCACCATATCGCTCCCACAAATGCTCAATCAATGCATTTCGGATATATTCAGTTTAATATTATAAAAATTACGTTTGTATTTTAGTTTTTAATTAATCTATATATAATATTAGGCTCGTTTTAATTGTCTTGATGCGATCTTTCAAATGGTATAATTTATTTTTAATTATTCAAATTTTATGTATATGTATTTAACAAAATATGTAAATCTATAAAAACAAAATAGGAATACAAAATGAATTAATAAAAAAAGGTAAGGGCAAAATTAGAATAAAGTAGTTTACACCATTTTGGCATAAAAGCTACGCTGCACTGTATCTAATCGTCAAAATGGCGCCAAAAATTTGGCACTACATTGGAGGAGTTTCAGCGCCAAATTGGGCACTAACATTTGGTGGAGAAAATGTCGTCCCTTGGAGACGGCCTTAGAGCATCCATAGTAGTTCTAGTTTTTTTAGTTGTTTTTTTCATTCCATGTAGGAAAGACAGTGAGGAGAAGAGAGGAACCAAAAGAAAAACAAAACAAAAAAAATGCTGATAATGTTCAACAAATATATATATATATATATATATATATATATATATATATATATATACACACACACACACACACAACCATATTTACGTGTTTAGCGGCGCGTGCATTGCACGTGCCAGCTAAGCACACAGTAGGTGTGCGTTTCGCGCACCTACCTTCTTTAATTTCTGTTGAATGCAAAAGCAATAGGCCCCACCAAAAACCAAAAACCCAAAAAAAAAAAAAAAAAAAAAAAAAAAAAAAAACCTCCCCTCCCACACTAGTTAAAAATCCATCTCCAATTTTTTTATCTGAAAAAACTAAATAAAATGCACTGATGTGCATGCTCTTATTAGTTCTCCTCGAAAAAATGGGGGCATATATATACAACCATATTTACGTGCTTAGCGACGCGTGCATTGCACGTGCCAGCTAAGCACACAGTAGGTGTGCGTTTCGCGCACCTACCTTCATTAATTTCTGTTGAATGCAAAAGCAATAGGCCCCACCAAAAACCAAAAACCCAAAAAAAAAAAAAAACCCTCCCCTCCCACACTAGTTAAAAATCCATCTCCAATTTTTTTATCTGAAATAACTAAATAAAATGCACTGATGTGCATGCTCTTATTAGTTCTCCTCGGAAAAATGGGGCATATATATACAACCATATTTACGTGCTTAGCGGCGCGTGCATTGCATGGGCCAGCTAAGCACACAGTAGGTGTGCGTTTCGCGCACCTACCTTCATTAATTTCTGTTGAATGCAAAAGTAATAGGCCCCACCAAAAATCAAAAACCAAAAAAAAAAAAAAAAAAAAAAAAAAAAAACTCCCCTCCCACACTAGTTAAAAATCCATCTCCAATTTTTTTATCTGAAAAAACTAAATAAAATGCACTGATTTGCATGCTCTTATTAGTTCTCCTCGAAAAAATGGGGGCAAAAAGAAACAATTTATTATTAGACTATGAGACTTTTAATTAGATAATAGTTAATTATAACATGCTATGTATAGTTGATGAAACAATATAATATAATTTTTATAAAAAGAAAATGTTATATATAGCTTTAAAATAGTAACAGCTGTCGTCTGATATTCACAATTGTCTTTTTAACAAGTAGTGGTTGTAATTAAAACAATTATTTTTAATGCATATCGTCTGATAGCTATAGTTGTCTCTTTAACAAGTAGTGGTTGTAATTAAATCGAAATCCAGCTACGTTAGCATTAGAAACACGTGTCAGCCTAGCGTCATTTACGCTAGTGGTTACTCGTTAAAAAAAGTTACATTAAAGGCTCAAATGATTTTTTACCAACTAGTATTTTCACACATGCATTGCACGAAATGGATTTGTTATAATATTTTAAGAACATTTGAATCGATATACAATTATATAAATTTTAACAACGAATATTATATAGTGCAATTAATGAAATTGGTTGGATTGATTATATTTTCTGATGTTATCCTTACTTGAATTCGAGCAAATAATTGCCCAATTACCTATGCATCAGATAAAAAATTTTATTCTATATTTAGATAATAAAATTAAATATGAAATTATAAACAATTTTAATATTTGAAAGTGTACATTTATTTGATTATGACCATGTTTGGTAACATAGTTAGCTTAGCAACAATTACCACCATTTTTCTTATTACAGTTAAAGGCCTAACATTATTGGCTCTTATTAGAATTGTAGATATGTAAACACAAAAAATAAACTTTGTATATATTTAACAAAATTAGTTTACAGCGTGTGTGTAATTCAAGGTGCAGGTACAAAATCTCTGTGTAGTCCTCTGATTCTTCATTAACGCGTTCTACTAAAATTGTCTCCGGGATTCAAGTAGCGTAGCCTCCGAGATTCAATTGGCGCATGCCTCCGGGATTCAATTGGCGTGATCTTCAACAGCGAACATCAAGCTTCGAAATAATCAACTCTGCAAAGCTTCAAAGTACCTGCAATGGTTTCAAGTTGCCTTCAAAATCTTCAAAACCTTCGAAGTACCTGCAATGGCTTCAAGTCTTCAAGCTCTTCAAATGCTCTCAACTCCTCAAACCTTAAATTGTTTTCAACTTATTCAAGGTGTGATTTAAAGAATGAAATTGAAGCTCCATTTATAGTGGAGTTTGTAACTAAAATCCCTCAACAAACACCACTTTTATTTATCTAATTAATTATTTAATTATTTAGGAAAATGAACCTGACCAAAATTAAGTCTATGTTCAATGTTCTATCATCTAATTCAAATTCAAATTAAATTATAATTATCCAATTCAAATATAATAAAAGTATATTATATTTAAATTATAATTATAATTATTATTAAATTAAAATATGAAATGGGCTTGGACCAATTAATTAATTAATTCAATAGCCCAAATTAAATTTACTTTGACTAATTAAATTAATTGTATTATCGTAGCCCAATTAATTAAATTGGATGAATAATCAACCCCGAAATTGGACCCAATAATGATTTAATTGGCATACTTGTCGGCTTCAAATTTTCTGTGTCTACAAATTGCCCCCTCGAGACTTGCTTGGACATGCCACTTGAGAGTATACACTGCTAGAAAGTATTTAGTGCAAGTATGTCTCGAAACTATAAGGTCATTTCAACTCGTGCCAAGGAGCCTTGTGGGATATGAGGCAGTTTCGACTCGTACCGGAGAGCCTTGTGGGATATGAGGCAGTTTCGACTCTTGTCAGGGAGGCTTGAAGGAATATGAGGCAGTTTCGACGCATGCCAGGGAGTCTTGAATATGATGCGTTTTGAATTCACATTGAGGAAGCTTGAAGAATATTTCCTCCATCA